CTCCCCTCAGCCTGGGCTCCCCTCAGCCTGGCCTGTCCTCAGCCTTGCCTGTCCTCAGCCTTATATGGAGAGAAATGTTACTCCCCACTTGAGTCCTTACAAATAGAATTGCCAGAGAAGCTTGGATTTGGGATGCCAGTGACTTACTGTGTGTTGTTCTGGAATATTTAACTCTCTTATAAACACAGGGTAGCAAAGGACATTCTTTTATGAGGAACATAACTTTGTTTCTTGTCAACCATGTCAGATGGTCCGGGTGAGTAAAATGGATCATAGTGTCCGATTTCTCTGGCTCTGAATTACTTGTAATTCAGGGAGTGTGGGGTAAACTGAAGCAGGAAGACAAATGAGCCCGTGAGGTATGCCTGTGGGCCGTCCTTGTTCCTGGAGTGCATCTCAAAGGTACACAAGGGCATTGTGCTTGGGCCATCCTAAAGTAGGGGGCAGGGCAATTTGGGCAGGCTTGGGGTTTCCTCCGAAGTACTTTCAGCCTCACCAGGGAGTAAAGGGGTACAGAAGGACTTTTCAGATTCTGTGTTAGTCAAATAAGCCTTTAATCGCTACTGTGCATTTGCTTGGTAAGTTCTAGATTTCCCCTTTGTTGCTGATCTTCATAACTGTTCAGCCCTGCTCAGTGTAGCCTAGAATTAGAAGGCAGAAAAAGAGGTAGTGGAGCCAGTGGTTCCACTAGCTGCTGAGGGGGGCTTCTGGGGCCTTTGCCCTCAGAAACAGCACCACTGTACCGGCAGGCCGGTGGCCTTGTTCCACAGGCTCTGGAGTGCTTGGCCTTAGCTGTGCAGGCCAGCACTCTTTGCTCTTGGGTGAGAAATGTTTGCTTTTAAATGTTTGCCTTTTAAAGAGTCAAATACAATCTACTTGAGAGAATTCAGACACATTTCTAGTAAGCATTTGATGTCTATCAACATTTTGTGCATAAACATGGGACATTCTTCCAGATATTCAGAGATTAATGGTTTCGCACTGCAGGAGAGAGCAGGAGAAAAGAAGGGTAAAGCAGGGCTTTTACAGGTTACAGTTGGCCATA